TTCAGCTTCTATCCTGAAAGATATTTTTCTGTATCCTGCTTGTTTCCTGAACCTCCCAGAGGCTGACTTACCACTTACAATTTGCACTGCATGGGTCAGAAAGAGCTTTTAAAACGCATCTCTAGAGAAAGCTGTGGGCTTTGTTAAATAGTAGTTATGAGAAATTTGAGGTAGTTTTTTGTCAAGTTTATTTGTGTTCAGTGGATATATAAGCAGAGGACAATAAATTAGAACCTTTGTTGGAGGAGAAGCTTACATTTCCTATTTTATATATTTTATATATTTTATCAGAGAATCACAGAATTATAGGGCTTGGAAGGGATCTCTGGAGATCATCTAGTATGTACCTTGTATGCATAACAAGACAAAAATCAAGTAGATAGTTAACAGATAAAGTAATAGCTGTTTTTGTGTTAATTATTCTACTAAGTAGTGCTCTTATACTTTACAATATACAACAAGAGGGGAGAAGGGCTTTGTTTCCCAACACTCTTGCTCTCAAGAGACACAACCATGCAGTCTGCATCTTCATCTCCTTCGAGTACTGGTTGTTAAGTGAAAGTTATGATGTGCTGCCTGGTTTCACTGTTCCCACCAATATGGCATGACTTTAAAAACTCTGGAATGAAAGGCGACATGAATAAAACGTCTGACATTCCAGAGCAGGGGGTATACTCAAGAAGAGGAGGGAGGGATGGGGAGAATAGAACTAAGGCTTTGTCTTCCAAAGCATAACAGCATGGTTATAATAGTGGAAACACATACCCTTTTAAAACTGACTTGATTGGAAGAAAATTGCTTTTAGCTGGCTACTGAAATCCCTAAGCACATGCTGGTTTGTTTAATGGGAACCAATTGCGAAAGAATTTATGGAATGTACAGGGGGATCCTGTCTGAAAATGTATACAAGGAAGGCATACCAGCTGCAGATATTCCCTTCATCCTCACTGACGTTAGCAGCTTAAGATTTAGCCAAGCACAAAACACCCATGACCTTCTAAGCTACACAGCCCCAAAAGAAAGCAGAGTCAAGATCCTCAGTTAGCCAAGTCTTTATTAATAACTGTACCACGGAGGACCAAAACAAAATCTGCAACACTACTGAGCCCTGTGAAACAGTTGAAGAATAAAAATTAAAAACAAACAAACAACAAATATGCTTTTCTTCATCCTCGCTTGTAAGGATCTGCATGCTGAGAACTCAGCATACTTGGCTGCTACTGGTTTTCCTGCTACTGATTTTTTGGCTTCATGAATCATACAACAGTGCTTCTACCTGATTTCTGCTCATCTGTGTGGGAAAAAAAATAAAAATCTGTAGTTTATAGAAATACCTGTATGCAATATGAATCTGAATACTTCCTGGCATAAATACTGGATAATCCCTCTTATACTCTCTATCAGAAACTTGGAGGAGAAAAATGTTGCACCGTTACAATTCCAGTTCTAAAGGCTGGATCTAAAGATATATTCATTACAGGAAATTTTCCTGCTTACAATATTTATTTTATTTTTATTTTTTCTTCAAAGTGAGAGTAGAATCATTTTAAATATGCATACAGTAAATTACCATCTACCCCCCCCCCCCCCCCTTTTTAAAGCCTTTTTGTTGTCATTATTGTTTTCTGTGATCTTTTTCTGTGATCCAGATTACATGACTAACTCTAAATAAGTGCATCAATATGGTTTTGGGGAAAGGTGAAAATAGCAAGAATGAGATGCTGGAGGCAAACTGGCTGTGGAATTTCCTAAGACAAACCACTAATTTGCAGCTCTAAAACCTACTCTAGAGACATCAGCATGGGACCTATTGTTACAACTTCCTTTGTTATTTTCTCAAATTCATTGAATGTCAACAAAAGAGATTCAGAAAAATCCCCATAGCACCTTTTGGTCTTTTACCTTTGACAGCCAAAGCACTGCCTAGGAAAAGAGGATTCTTATAGGGGCTGATGCCCTTGATGAAATAGCCCATGGAGTATCTCCCATGTCAAAATGCTTTTTTAATATTCAAGTTATTCTGCTACTTCAGTTACAAATTCATAAAGCAGTCTAGGATAAATGGAATTGTAATTGGCAATGGAATGAAGAAAAATGTCCACCTCAACCCTGAATTAGGATTTCTAGGCAAAGACAGGCTTATCACAACAAAAAACTTATGTCCTTTTAATCATATGATTAAAGTTGATTTTATGATACATAAGGGTCTACAGGGCTTATACTAAATATCCATCTTCACAATAAGAGAAGATTTTCTCTTGAGAAGAGAACAAGACAAGTACTTGTCCAGATGGCTCTTGTGAGTCCTCAGCAGGCTTTATTTTTTTATTTTTTTTTTTTTTTTTTTTGTCTACTTCCATAGGGAAAATAAAGGAAGGGATGATGATTAATGTTGCCTGCATTTTTTGGCAATATTAAAAAATATGTTTAGCCCCTGAGTCCATAATTCTTAATAATATTCTTATAAATATGCTTAGTTAATGATGTGCATAATATTATAAAACTTATGAATGCATTTGGAAAGTTCAAGCAGTGCCCAAGGCGCATTAAAATAAGAACAGGGGATCACTTTAACAAGAGCAAGTACTCCTAATAAAAATGCAGTGTTAATATGCAATAACAAAACTCTTTTCTCATCAGCTTTTCCAAATGTGTTTTTCATTGATTGAAACCTGAAGTCATAAATTACTTATATTTCTGTTTATTATTTCTCTATCTTTTAAAGCCATTACTCCCTTTTATTAGCTTGAGTGTTTAAGTACTTTACAGCTCCATAGCATGTTAAAATTGTGTTTCATATAGAGACCGTGAAGAAAAAAAATCTGTCATGCCATGAGTTTTTCTATCATCTCTTCTGCAGTCTGTCATGTTCTATTTCGGTCATTTCCAGTACAAACGATTCTTCGTGATCCTAGTCATTATCATCAGTCTCCTGCTTATGGCTGATTATGTGTTGTTCAATTTTATTGACTGTAATGCCAGACAGTCATTCTGTGTCAATCTAGCAACATCTTCTTTTACACATTTACTGTAAGAAAAAGTATGAATACTCTTCAATATGTTGCAAATAACAGCTATTTGTTGTGCTTGGCTTATTGGAAAGGAATGAAACATAGTCTTTCTATAGACACTGCATGAGAAATGGTTACAGATGATCCTCCAGTTATGTGGTTAGTTCAATCCAAAGTTTTTTGTCATGTGTGGGTGCATGACATTTGTCTATCTCAGAGAACATAAAATAATGTATGCTAAGAATATACCATGTTAATAGTTTGGTTTTATGGCTGGTGTTCACTGAGTAGCAGTTTTCAATGGGTCTTTCACAGTCATCTTTTTGCCCATCTTTCTTTTTTCTCTTGAAAGATTAAGTATCTTGTATCACCTATAATGCAGGTAGAAATGCACTGTGTTAGTCTAATTACCTTGCACTTATAAGTGATCCATGTCTGCTGTTCTCACTTGTTTCGAAATGTAACATTCTTTTATTATTTATTGCTATTATTTGTGCAAGTTCTAGGTGAACTTCTTGTAAGTCATCACGTAGGACTTCATGTCACATTATATCAATTTGTAAGTACCTAGACATAAGACTTTTTTGGAGTGATTCACTATGTATGGTGCAACATGGAACCAATCTTGAAGAAAATTCTCTACATGAAACAATGGAAGAATAAAAAGCAGAAACTTTTAGGGAATATGTACAATATACGGAAATATTTACTTGGTGAGAACTGTCTTTGAGTATTGCTTTTCTCTTTTTCATCCTAAACAATCACAGTTTTTGCAGTTTGTCTTTTCTAGTCATGTTTCCAAGATATCTGATAGACTCCTGCTGCATACAGAATGCTGTGTTATGTAAATCACTGAAAGGTCTATGCTATTGCTATAATGCTAACAAACAAAGAATACAGATAAAGATATTTTAACAGTATATATAGAGATATCTATCTATCTATCTATCTATCTATAGATATATAGATATATATATATATCACCATATATCCATACCATATCATCATATATATATATATATATATATATATATATATATATATATATATATATATATTCTACTATAGAGAAATTGATTTATTTGGTACCCAAAGTGACAGCTTGAGATTTTTGCCATACGAAGATACCTGAAAACTGTGGTTGAAAGAAATCACAGAGCCTTTAAGACTGGAAATAATTTGGAGTACATTGCTGAGTTTTCATAGTTAAATACTTCCCATATTTCCACAGATCTCTAAGAATATTGGTACAGTTATCTTCATATAATGATTTGGCTGATTACTTTCCAGATTAACACATTTGAGGTCATCAGACAACGTAATCTCCTATGCCCATTATAGCACCAAATAGGCAATGATAATTAAACTGAAAAAGAATTTGGCCCCTAGAATTGTTTCTTGATATAAATCTTGGTCAGCTTGCTCAGGTTTCTCACATGTGTAAACAGCTGGCTCCAGTTGCTTGGATGTTTGATGCATCCGTCTCTCTTTCCTTGACTTAGTCACACTTCGAGACATATGGCGATGTAATTAAAAAGCATTGCCATCCATGATTTGTATATGAGGGGTGAAGGTAGAGCAGACCCCGTTTATGGGTGTCATTCTGATTTATTTTGGACAGTTGACTGATGCCTATAATTGGATATTTAAATACATAAATCTTCATAAAACTTTAAGACAGTGAAGAATGCAGCATCTTTATAAGTGCACATGTACACTTACCACATCTGCATACCTTCAGGTACAAGCTTCTCTAAAGGAAACTCACCATAAATAATATGTCAGAGATCACTGGCAAATTGAATTTTCTCCATTCTCTTTTTCTCTTTGGGTAAAAGCTATAACGTATGATTTGAACTGAATTTGACAATCCCTTTGTGAAAGCTTCACAGGTGCATAAGATAAATGTAAGAAGTCATTTTGTCTTTTTGCCACTAGAATCTTTTTCTGTGAATTTCTGAGAGGGTTGTTCGTTGTTTTTGTTTCCAGCAGGAAACACCTTTTGGAGCTTCTTTACTGTCAAAAGAAAGAAGGTGAATATGGCAAATATGGAAGGTAAGATTTACCAAGTATATTAGGAAGTGATTTCAACTTGTAACTGTTTTTAAGGAGAAAAAAAAAAGCTGAAAAGACTAAAAAATTAAGGAAAGTATAAAAACAATGACTGCAAGTTAGTTAGTCAGTTATATCCATGCTTTTTATTTTGAGTGTATCATGCTGACCGGTTAATAATTGGAATGAGAAAAAACATGAGAAAATGCATCCTTTATCTTCTGACATTTTCAAATTAAATTTCACAGAATCACAGAATCAATGGCATTGGCAAATTTCAATGCCTTCTGAATATACGCTTACTTTAAACAGGAGCTACAAGGCTTACTGCAAGACTGGTGAAATACAGAGCTGCAGTACTCTCTTAAGTGATTTAACTAAATGATCAGATGACTTTTTCTGCTTTTAAGTTGCACATTTGTTTGCATTATTTTTCTAATCAGACAAATATCAGTCTAAACATGCTTACTAAACCTCTTGTGGTGTATGAGATGAAGACAAGTTGAAATCATAGTAACTACATATTCTTGGAAGAAAGAAATACCTGCTATTAGAAAATACTGCTACAATTTCTCCTTTTGGGATCGTCTTCTTCCTCCCCAATAAGGTAGAATAATTTATTTCTGGTTAATGGGCATGGAAGTTGTAATTTTCCCTTAAAAAAAAAAAAAAAAAGATTGATCAGAACAAGTTTAAAAGTTGAAAATCTGTTCATAAACTTTTCTCATGTTATACCTAGTCTATCTGAATGTCTACACTTAAGTCAGTCTGACAAACTGGCATTATGACTCTCTGACCGACTTACGTAAGTCTGTACTACCAGTCTGATATAGTATTTAAACGTGTACAATAATGCAAGTGTAAGAGGCCATGGGTGATCAGTAACCTTGAGCAATTACTTCCAACATATTTGAACAGAATTCAAGACTTGCACAAATGGAGCTCTTTACTCCTTGTCTGCAAACAAGTTCTCTTTGTCCTTACTTGTGTCTACGTTGTATATTAGGTTTACTTTTTTTCACTTTCAAGGCATTTCTAATGTGAAAAAATCTCAAAACAGTGGAAAAAAAAAACAAAAATAAAACTAAGTTCTTGTCATTGTGGCTTCCCTCTTCCTTGTAAGATGCTTTAATTAGTGAAAGGAAATGCAGAAATGCTTTGATTTACTACATACATGGCGAATGTCATCATATGCAGTGAGCTAACTGTCCATTATTCAACAGTGTGTAACTGGAAGTGGGAGAATAATGCATAATGCCGTACAGAAACATTGCAAAATACTTTGGTTTTATTTCATCTTTAGAAGCTGACAGTCAAACCTGTCAAAGCATGCCTAAAAGGGAACACTGAAGTGTCATTGCAGGACAGCTGTGTTCAGCAATAGCTGAATCCAGGCCAGCAAAGCTCCTAGGTATGAGTGCAATTCTAAGCTTGAGAACATATCCAGTAAAGCAAATAAAGCCAGAAACTAGATAAACTTATGTACATGCTTAAATAACTTCTGGAGTAAAATTCAGCACAGCAATTTTGGCTGAGAGGTATAGTTGCCATTATTACGTATGAAACGCATTCAGGAGAGGCTCTCACACATAGCTTGAGAAGCACACAATATACAGACTGTGAATTAACTAAGTGCAGCAAATCCAGTGCTGCTAAAGAAATTGCTACTAAGAATGAAATTGGCAACTGAAAATTAGTTCAGCTCAGCAAAGTAAATGCTTTACTCAGGTGCAGAGGATATGAAGACTGTAAGTAAGATAATATATATTTGGGGTTGTTTTTTTGGCCTTACAAAACTGCCTGTGCAATACGAAAAATAAATCCCCCAGAGAAACCACAGAAACATTCATGTGAGGTGTTTAATCTTAGCAGAAACGTGATGCCACGTGGTCTCAATAAACAAATGGTCTGGCCTTTGACTCACACCAGTTTTTGAGGCACCTCTGGTGAAAATGACTGTCCCTATCAATACGTAAATATTCTACCCAATTTTCTTTCCTTGTTTGTCTAATGGGCCCATATCAGAGCTGTAACATCCTTCAGGTGCTTGAAATAAGCAACATAAGCACTTCAGGATTTATTGTGAAACAAGCAAACAAACAAAACATACAAAAGGTGTAAACCGTGTCAAATGTAGAGGGTAATATCTTTATCCTCCTTTCCCTCACTGTTTTTACAGTTATTTCCACTAGAAAATTCTCTGGTTTCACTTAGGAACATAGAAAGTCTTTCCACTCCTCAATATCCGTAAGGACAGCACCTTTATTCTCCTGAAGAAAATATCTATAGTGATCCCTACTAGTCAGTTTTCAACAGTCATTAGACTTATTTTACCCCAGTAGGATTCAAAGAACCAGCCACCCCAATCTGAACTCCTGTACCAGTCAATCATACCTGATCCTGAGCAGCTGGGAGAGAAAGATTCAGGTGTTGGCATTTCTAATTCCTGAGTACTGATGGAGTACTTCTGCCCAGCTGCGGAGCAGCCAGCATGTTTCCACCCACAGGCAGTGTTATTAGGAGTTTTTCAGGTGGCCCTTACAGTTTTGTTTCTGTATCGACTAACAGAACAATTTCTTCTACAGAAGTTTAGATAGGTAAGTAACAGAATTTTTTTTATTCCTTACTGTTTAAATCTGTGTAAGAGTTAATGAATATGCATTTAAAGTTAAATTGCAGGGCTGTTTTCCTGGAGAAAAGCTGATGTTTTCACTCTAGCAGAATAGTGGGATAAGTTGATTTGTGCTTCTGGGGCTGGAAGGAAAGCCTACTTTAGCAGAGTTTTCTGTCAGTATATTTAGTTAAAATTTTGTTTTTGTCTTATTTTAAAGCCATGACTGCACAATGCAGGAGATTATGAGTAAAGTAAAGAAGTGCTTCTAAATTTTAGTATCTGTTTTGCCTTAAATATTATCTCTGTATTGATACTGTTATTTCATTCTAGTGTTGAGAAAAGAGCAACTTAACATGAATTAATGTTTTCAGTATCCTGTGGTGCTAGAAGTGGTGTGTATATGGGTCATTTCTCAGTGAAAATGATGCAAGAAAATATGGATTCAACTTTAGAAAAAAAGTCTGATGTAGTCAATGCATGAAGAGCGAATTTTACTTTATCTGTTTTAGACTTTCCCAAAAGCTTCTAAGTGAACTGACTGCGAGAGTAATATTAACTACTGTGATAAACAGATTTTGGTATTATTTCTGATGTCAAAACTTCTACTGCGTGTTGGAAAGGAGTATAGAAAAGTTTAAAAGGAATTAGTCTGTGGGTGTTAAGGGAGAGTATGTGTGTTTGAGTACTTAGGATCTGATTTTATTTTATTATAGATGAAAATGTTATGTCAGAAGAAGTGTGTCTGAAGATGTGTGGGAGTTTAATGAATCTCTGTGTTCTTATCAAAGTACTTTGTGTGCTTTCTAAAGTGGGGGAAGTACATAAAGTAGAATAGAGGAAAAAATAAGGTGATGAACAGTAAATGTGCTTATATGAAAAAGGAAACATAATGAAGCATGTCTGAAGGGATAATGTTTCTGTAATGTGAAACTAGATCAATAGGAGTAAAAGTATTAAGTATGTCCTGAAAGCCTGCAAGCAAAACTGATACAGATCTGTTGATGTTGAGACTAATATACCACTTTACAAATTGCCCTACAGTTTTTTTTCTTTGCTGCACCACTGAAGTCAGTTGAGCTCATTACCTTGCTCTGTATAATCGTGTTTCAGCAAAACAGCTGTTTCTGAAAGCACTTCACCTCAGTGAATGTCTTCGTATTTTCTTATGTTGAACATTGCACAACTAAATAATTTTTTCATAGAAAGAATTTCTGTGAAAGGTGATTTTTTTTTCATAGAAAGAATTATGGTTTTACAAATGGAAAACAGTATATATTAGGAGCTATCTGGGGCCTTGCAAAGCAATTTTTACCTTTCCTTCACTACCTTCTTAACTGGTGAGTGAATTCCTGGATTTAGGTGGTAAAGAGAATGAGAAACAGATATTTCAGGAGCTCTGAAAAGAATGCATAAAATGTGCTTGTTTGGTAATCAATTTTTTTCACTACTTTTTTTTTTTGTCCTTCATAGCGATCAGTTAAATACCTGTAAATTTCTGTGTAAAGGGTACACTGAAAATACTAGTGCTTTGTTGTGCTTTTCTTTGTTGAGCTTTTCTTTCTCATGTCTCTTGAAATGGCAGATTTGAATCTTGTCAACAAATACCACTTTGTTTAGGCAGGTAATTATTTTTGATTACTGAGAATATAGTACAGTGGAAGAGATCAGGAGAACCGAAATGCAATTCCTAATTTTGTGAAGCTTAGTGCTTGTTTTTTTCTCTTTAAATTGACTGGATGGGATGCCTCTGTGTAAATAAAATTTTGGCTAAAGATCACTAAGCAGGAATATATATATATATATATATGTATGTATATGTAATATATATATATATATATATAATATGTATATATGGAACACCTAGGAAGAGTTTTTTTCTAAAATGTTTTGTGTGGTATTCTTTATTTAGGTTCTTATTTTGGTTCAAGACCTTAGAAATTAGACATTTTTAGCTGCTCTAATATCTTCCCCCTTATTGATTTACACAACAAGTCATCACACTTCTTAGGAATTATGCTGAAACAGTTGGTCTTAATGTACTTGTTTTCAGTAAGTCTGACATACAATGTGGCTAGTAGCTACATGGATGAAATCATGTTAAAACTCTTACAAATTTTGAACATTTTATGTATGAACTGAAGGAGTCTAGGGATGATTAAGCTTATTATAATAGCCTATTGTAATGTTAGGCAGAGATGAGTAGGATAAATGCTATGTTCTTCATGCTAGAGAATAAATAGGTTCTGCAACAACAATGAAAAACGTGTTATTCCCATTAGAACTTGATAGAACTCTTCTTCTGTATCAAAGAACAACAAGATGAGTTTTGGAAATATGGCTTGCGGTCAAAAACTGTTGGCATTTAATTTCCTTGTGATTTAATTTAAAA